CTGTACAGGATTAGCAGTAGCAACTGTCCTCAACCACCTCTGAATTCAGCTGCGGGAATGTTTTCTTGCCACAGCTGGCACTAATCACATGTGTAAATGATTTATTTTAATTTTATATGGTCAGCAGCAATGAAATTCTTTTTGTGATTTTTATTGAACCACTGGGTTACACATAGCGCTATGATGCAAGGATGCACTGCTTGTCCATATGTAGGTGTGATCAGTGTGCTACAGAGTAGCCAATCTGTGAAATGGTATTTTGGCACCAATGGTCTAATTATATCTGTAGTCTTATTTTCATAAACTGGCACTACAGTTGGTAATATTGTTTTTTTTAACCCCATCTCTGATGATTATTGCATATTTTCAACTGTCAGAGATGTAATTTTTAACAGTGTGACTTGACACTCAATGGTGCCAACTTCCCAATATATGGAGAGAAATAATCATGGGTGTGCAGGACTTTAGCAGCACCACTTTTTATTATTATTATTACATTGAGTTTATATAGCGCCAAAGGGTTTACTCAGCGCTGTACAATAAAGGGGGGGGACAATACAAGAAACAGAACAGCAACAACAACAGTACATGAGGGGTTACAGGGCCCTACTCTTTCGAGCTTACAATCTAGGAGGGAGGGGGTAGTAGCACAGGAGGAAGTGGCTGTGGGGGATAGAGTGGTAGGAGGAATGAAGGAGAAGGGCTGTTAGGTGAGGGAGGGGTAGGCTTCCCTGAAGAGGTGGGTTTTCAGGGGAGCGCCTGAGGGTGAGGAGGGAAGGTGACAGTCTGATGGATTGGGGTAGTGAGTTCCAGAGGATGGGGGAGGACCTGGAGAAGTCTTGCAGTCGTGCGTGGGAGGAGGAGACCAGAGAGCAAGATAGAAGGAGGTCCTGTGAGGAGCGAAGAGTACGGGTAGGGTGGTACTTGGGAATCAGGTTGGTGAGGTAGTTAGGGGCAGTATTGTGAATGGCTTTGTAGGTCAGGGTTAGTAGTTTGAATTTGATGCGTTGGGCAATCGAGAGCCAGTGGAGGGATAGGCAGAGGGGGGTGGCAGAGGTGGAGTGGTTGGTGAGGTGAATGAGTCTGGCCACTGTGTTCAGGATGGTCTGGAGCGGGGAGAGCCTGCACTGGGGTAGGCCGGTGAGAAGAGAGTTGCAGTAGTCAAGGCGTGAGATAATCAGGGAGTGTACGAGTAGTTTAGTGGTGTCTGGGGTAAGGAAGTTACGTATCTTGGCGATGTTCCGGAGGTGGAGCCTGCACATGTTTGTAAGTGATTTGACATGAGGTTGGAAGGAATGGTTAGAGTCCAGAATGACGCCAAGGACTTTGGCTTGCGGGGCGGGATTGATGGTGGTGTTGTTGGTAGTGATGGACAAACAACCAAGTGTTTAAAATTAACACATCTTTATTATTACGTCAAAACAAATCCATAAACGACACAGGCTGAACATCTATCAAAAGGCTCTGATACTCTCATTGATAATATGTATTCGCATATGCTGTCCTAGGTGCCCTGGCCATGCATAATACTATGTTAAACATATGTGGACATACAACTTATTGATGATCAAGCAGTATTATCAAACACATCATTTATGAGAGTATCTGAGCCTCTTGATAGCTGTTCAGCCTGTGTCTTCTTATATTATTTGTTTTACGCAGGCTGAACATCTATCAAGAGGCTCAGATACTCTCATAAATGATGTGTTTTTATCAAAGCAGTATTATCTACTGCTTGAATATCATTAATTTTGTATGTCCACATAGATTTAACATAGTATTATGCATGGCCAGGGCACCTAGGAAAGCATATGTGAATAAATGTTATCATTGAGAGTATCAGAGCCTTTTGATAATATTCAGCCTGTGTATTCTTTTTATTATTTTTTTTTTTTAACTTGATAATAAAGATGTGTTTTAATTACTTGGTTGTTTGTGATAAGTGGTGCTGCTAAAGTTCCTCACACCCACGATTACTTCTTTTTGCAACAGTATCAGTCTGTTCCGTATATCCTAGGTTTTTCTCAGGTGTTCCAGAAAAGTTTTTGTGTAGCTGTCAGTTTTGATTGACATATACTTAGTTCCTGTAGAAAAATATGTAATATGGAAATGTGTATCTCTAATGTTCCAGAGTTTTCCTGGACTCCTGAAGCTGGGGTTCTCAATATGAAAATCCGATCTTTCCCGAGAAAACCTGATCCTCTGACAAACTCCCCTTATAGTAAGAGTGTAAAGATAGGAAGGTTACAGCATTTCTTTAAGGAATGCTAGGGGCTCTGGGGGTCTGCTTTTACAACTATGTTTTCATTTTATATATGGGTTTTATAGTAGACGTATGAGAATTCACTACAGTAATTTGTTTCTGTCACCTAACACGAGCCTGTAGTGAAGCTGTCTTGCAGCTAGACTCCCCAATAATGTGCTATTCTTTATTATAGAGCACAGCACAGTTATTTTTCTTCTCATTGTAGTAGGACTGCAGCTAGTGAATGAGAGAAGAAAGCAATAAGCACACACAAGGTGACATGGCTGTTATAAATTAAATCAAAATCATTTTAACAGTCTTTATCATTTTAGTGATATTGGCAGACAAATTGATTAGAAAATTGCTGCTTTAAGGTTCTCAGTGTGTTGTGGGGCTAAAGCACAACCCTTTTGTGAGGAGAGAAAGAACATATCGATTATATGTGGACTTGACTGATCAGGTGAACACTGAGAGTAGTTTAGCTCGGCAGCCTAGTTGTAGAATTCATAAGTCACACTGGCAAAGCTATGCAGTTTTGTGTTTTGGAAATGCTGTGTGCAAGTGCGCGTATAGGATTCTGTATCATTTTAAGTATGTGACATAACCAGATGCTATCACTTAAGTAGACAAAAGCTTCAGGGTGTTTGGCGCCGCCAGCTCTTTTGTCTGAAGGTTTTATTATAACCACATGCTGTAAATGTGGGGAGGTATGATCATAGTAGGACTGAATAATGGATATACATAAAGTGTATGTAGCCCTTATCAGCTAAACAAGTGCATGTCCTAGGGAAAAGACACCTGAAGTTTGGTTGCCATGAACAATGCATTGTTGCCTCCAGACAAACCGCTTCTTTGTGCTCAATAACTGGCTTAAAGACATTTCAGTTTAGCTTTACTATTACATATGTATTCATGCTACCTGGAGGTAACAAATGTAATTCAGATTGTATGTCCCTGATCTACCCAAAAGAGTATTTATTGCTGAAAAAAAGTATATTTACAAATACCAGTTGAAATGTCTTAAAGTGGAACTACAACCTCCTGTCCTTTACAGCCGAGGAAGGTGCCAACTGAACCTTTGTTTGATCTGCAGTTGCCAATATGATCAGCTATGACACCATCCATCTGAGGGATTGAAAATTTCAGCAATAACTAACATAAGCACACTAGCAGCTGTGACTGTTATCACGGGAGGCATGCCTTGACCTTCACTGTTTTGGGAAAATGTATCAATGGATTTAGTTTCACTTTAATTGCGTTGGTATTTTGGTATCCCCTTTTGTCTTGAATCCCAGAAAAAAAAAAACTCTGGGTCAACTAACTGCATTCAGGAGTCTCATAATTAATTGGAGTTCACCAGTGTGTAGTTATTTCTGACTTCAAAATAAATGCATCTATTTCTATAAGGCACTGAATTGAGTTTGAATATATCTAAACATGCAACATAGTGAAGATGAAAGATCTATCAAAATAAATCTATGAAAAAAGTGCAGCCAATTAGAGCTCGATTATGAAATAAAATTTTTTCCCTGGAATATTGTTAAATCCACTATGGGGAATGGACAGGGTATGCCTCTGCCTAGAGCAGACTGTCCACTAGAACTCTGTGACCTGGTAAGGAGGGTTTTAGAGGAACAGCCAAGAGGTTCTTAGTAACTACAAAGAAGCAGCAAATATCCACAGCTAAGATAGAAGATATCATCCATTGCACAATGATAGTCACATGCCACATAGTTTTATGAAAAAGTAGTAATAAGACACCTATATAAAATTCTGTTTGCCAAAGGAGATGCCAAAAAAAAAGCTTCTCTGGTCTGAGATCTAAGGCAAAAACGGAAGTTTACTCTCTAAAAGACAGTGACTCTCTACAAGACCGTGACCCTAAGTAAGTTTACAAAGCTATTTAAATCAATACTCAGCTTAGTATGGCATAGTCAAACCCAAGACTGGGGTTTTAAAATTGCTGTTTAGGAATTGTCTGGATCCTATCTGACAGAACTAGAGAAATTGGACAGGAAGAATGGGCAAACGTTACAGGATCCAGATGTGCAAAAATTGTAGGAACTTACTGCAAAAGACTTGCAGTTGTAATTGCAGATGATGGTGGTTTTAAGAACTACATGGGGAACATAAGCAAAGCATTGTGTATTCCACTATTTTGCACTGTATTATTGCACGTACTCTTATTTTGTTTATTTTATACATTTATGTAGAGCAGATACATTTTTCAAGTGTACTCTGTGCTCATACACACACAGTTTGGTCAGAAAACTATTACCCTGCTGGTTCTTCTTGGGCTACGGGTGGAATCTGGAGCAACCACATAACATACAGACTCCTTTCAAATAGCATCCCTGATGGGAATTGTTTTCTGGACAGCAGTGCTATCTACTAAACCACCACGCTATACCACTATACTCGCTATGGTTTTGCTGCAGTGATATGATAGTTTAGTATACATATAAATTGCAGTCTCCAAATAAGGGTCATGTTGATACTGATCTGCAAAAAAAAAAATCAAAGACTAAGAAAGCAGCTCATTATGGGAGACGCATGTTTATGTATGAATGCACAATTCTACTTCTCAGACATCACATCATCTGTTATGACAAGCCTTCAACAGCAAGATTGTTTGTTGTTTGTGAAAGTAGCTTTAATAATACAAATCATTGTATGTTGTGGCATATGTCTGTATATTTACATTGGAGCATTTGTGTATTGTTTCATTTTGGTAAAAAATGTCTGTTCATTTTAGGCAATTCCAGGGCCACACAGATGGAGCCAGCTGTATTGACATTTCTAATGATGGTACCAAGCTGTGGACAGGAGGTTTGGACAATACAGTGCGATCCTGGGACTTGCGTGAAGGACGACAGCTACAACAACATGACTTCACATCACAGGTATAATGAAAACAATATATGTTCCTACTACTGCTATTACAAATGTACACATAAGTCAGGGTTTTCAAGGATTTTGAAAAGCACCCAAATATATCATTTATTTTCATGCCTACTAGAAGAGCTTTAGGTCTTATTTACAGCTGTAGTGGTACCACAGGTGACTCCAGCCTTTATTTTAGTTAGGGCAACATCAGACAGCATTTTCTTTTTCTTCTGATAATTAAGACAATCAATGTTGAACACATTTTGTGTGGCCATGTCCCAGGTCTCACTGTAGTTTGAAGCATTTTATACGCTCCATGGGATGGAGCCAAGGTTATTCCCATTTATTGAAGAAAATCTCAAGTGAGAAAAATGTGTAGGCTGACATGGCTCACTGCCTTCTAAAATTACTATTTGCCTGGCTGTCTATGGCTTAAGTGCATTCTGAGTCACCGACCTGGAATAGATGAGCAGAAAATGAAGTCAGAACTGCCAGATCTTCATCCATGTCATTGACTCGGTATTAAAGAGACTCCATTTGCCCACTAAGAGTGGTTGTCAGAAAACCCCAACCACTAATACCACCCCCATGTTGCTCTGTTTGAGCATGATGTCTAAACACTTGTTCCATCCTTGTTGGGGCCTGAGCACTGCATTTTGGGAGGTGGTCACCAGGTATTTTCCAAAGTCTCCAGCAGTGGTGGGGGGGTAGTGTGTGTGAGGTGAATGGGCAGAATGGCAGATTATCTTTAAATCAATTGGATCTGCACAACTGAAGGAAAATCGGCATTTTCAAAAAAGAAAGATCAGCAATGGCAACCTACATATTCCTATCGGTACAATTTTCTTTTAACGTCATAGTGTCTTTTCCTAGCGTAAGAACATTCTGTGTACAGATGGTGCTTGCACAATCTTTTACGAAACCAAAAATGTCAAAATGCTTGTGCACCACTGTGTGTGTGCATTGATAAAAAGAATATTCCATGTCAGTCATCTGGAAATTGAATATATTGTATTGTGATCATTTAGTCATTGTTTTATTTAGACTTCATATGCGACCATGAGATCTCTGTTGATGGATTTGTTAAATTAAAGAAAAGTGTTTCATGATCATCCAGGTGTTTCATTATCCTGTAATACTATTAAATAGGCTGATGCTTTTTATTTTTGCCCACAGATCTTTTCCCTTGGATACTGTCCAACTGGTGAATGGCTGGCAGTGGGCATGGAGAACAGCAACGTGGAGGTGTTGCATGTCACCAAGCCAGATAAATACCAGCTCCATCTTCATGAAAGCTGTGTACTCTCCCTCAAGTTTGCTCATTGTGGTAAGTATTTATTTGCTTCTTTTGTTTGTAGATCTCATCGGTTTCAGTATGCGGCTCTTCCCTGGTGTAGACTACCAATGCCAAAGTGTTGATTTCTTACTCATGAATCTTTCAGATGATTACAAAGGATAAGGTGGCTCAGTGTGGAGTCACTGTAATGCAAGTGAGCTGTAACCTTAAAGAGCCTTTTTAACTCTTTGTTGTTCCATTTATAAAATTCTTATGTAACACCATAATGAAAACCCAAATGAAAATACATTTTTGGTATGTATGGCTCGGTTGCTGTCTTTGGGTGCCACTGTCTCCTTATTAGTGCAATTTGCTTCCAGTTCAGTGACCCTATATGTAAAGAGCCTCATATGCAATAGCATTTGGAACTTTTTTTATGAAACCAAGTGCAAAAGAAAAATTTTCCATATGGCTGTTTAGTTACCACCACCTTTTCTGGCTGGTTGCTGGCACACCGCTTTAATCCATTGAATTTATCTTCTTTCAATCATGGAGCTTCGGCTTCACTTGTGGGCACTACCTAGGGCAGTCTGTATGGAATTTCAGCCTCTCTAGGAATTCCCACTGCTGCTGCCTGGCATCTACCCTTCAGTGTATTTTAACATTTTCATATCCCTCCCAAGAGCCAGCCCGCTGTTTGCATTAGGTTTGAGGACATTTGAAAGGGGTACTACGGCAGGATGCTGCAATGTGTTTAGAAAGCTATGGATAACACCCTGCTGGCCTGTTGCACCAGCCATTATCTGTCTGTATTTCACAAAGAAGTATAGAGGCCTAGTCATGCAGCTGAGTTTAAAATAAGGTATGCATTGAAAACTGATTTTATTTAAAGATTTTATTGGCATGTTGATGCAGGGGTGAGGGTTGAGGGGGTGCAAGGAAGGCAAAATATTAGCAGACTAAACTTCAATTCTTCCACAAAATAAAATGGTCTGTTTGCCATTTCTTGTTGAGTTACTGTGCTCTTTTTATCTGGCTTCTTTCTGCTTGGATATGGAACAACTTTAAACAGTATAAACTGATAAATCAAAGATCAGTACATTGAGTTGAGTTTAACTTTGTAGATCTGGACTTGTGCTTTCACTGGGGCTGGTTGATATGTCTCTCTGATTTTCTCCAGCTGTTTTTCCACTTGCACACTGTGCAAAGGTCAAGTCTTTGCAAGAAATTCTTGTATCACTATTATCTATTTGTTTTAGGTAAATGGTTTGTGAGCACTGGAAAGGACAACCTTCTTAATGCCTGGAGAACACCTTATGGAGCCAGTATATTCCAGGTAAAGTTATTTTGTTATCATTGTTTAGATGTCGCTGTGCAGTTTTCTGTACAGTTTGTAGCTTTATACACACCACACACCTGTGGATTTATGGTTTTACATTCACCAGCAAAATCAAGAATGTCATTATTCATAGCTGCACAAATACCATGTGTCCGATTAATCCATATCCTAAACTTCCAAGTGACCAGATTTAGGTCAATTTTTAATTATTCAGTTCTTTATGAAGAAACAAAAAAAGGGAGCAATCGTGAAATGGTTGTAGAGATTTCTCTGAAAGTGATATGGAACACTTTTGATAGCTCCTTGTTATCACTTTTTTATTTTATTCTACATAACTGAACTGTCATAGTCAGTGCTTGACTTGGTTGGATAACATAAAAAAAAACTGGGTCATGTACAAGGAATTGTATAAATGGAATGATTGATAGCCATTACTAATGCCATTTTAATACATATCATAGATCTGTAGCCACTGATAAGTCACCTCTTCATAATTAAAAGTCAGAAGGACAAAGAAAAAATATTACCAATTTAAATTCAGCTCCTGATTACTTTCTTACGATTTTTCATAAACGTGCGAGCTTATGAAATCAATTTTAAGTAATATCCGCTTTTCTGAGATATGCTCAGCTAGAAGTCCATTGATGGGAACGGTACTTTTTCCTCACTTCTAGATAAAGCTTGTATGTGTTTAAGCTAAGCGCTTCACTGGAAAACCATTGTCACTGGATATATGCTATTTATAAATTACATTGTGCTGTGGTGAGCAAGAAGATCTAGAAATGTAATACTTTAGAGCCCCACTAAGACGTCACTCAGAATGCTTTACTCCTTGTCAGTGAGAACAGAGGCACTGGTTTAATGCTATACAGCAAATCCAAGCTCTTGTAATGATTAGTCATGTTACGCTGTCAGAGTGAGTGTGTATATGTGTTAATAAATATATACTGTGATATTGGGGATGTCTGATTCATAGATAATCATGGTTTTAAATACATTTCAGACTTTATAAAATACCCAAGTAAATTTCTTTCTTTTAAATGGCATTAAAACCTTTTAATGGAAACCATAATGGTTTTTAGATGCATTTGTTTTAATTTGTTTTGAAGTTTAGTTGTTTTTAAAATCATCTCCAAATTCAAACATTAGTGCCATCCAGTGAGGGAATAACTACTTCTCTTGCTCATTCACCTTTGTAGATTTCAGCTAGAGCTGTTCTCTGTGAACAGGCATTTTTACCTAGGAGCTAAGTGGAGCCTGGAAACCATGTAAAATGAGGCCAAGGGACACTCCTGCTGGCTATGTATAAAATATATTATTTCAAATCTACATATTACCAATGTTTTTAAAAACTTTATTTGTTTTAATCCTGATCATGAGACTCAAAAGAAAAGATAAAAAGGCATTATATGTCACTTAAAACAAATAAGCACACCTTCTGTGCCTTCCAAAAACACCTAATACTATGTATTAACAGTAAGAAAACACATTGGTAACCTGTATGCACTAAACAGAATGTGGTGGTTTGGAGGCTAAACAACCTTTTATATTCTTTTCTATGTGATCTGCTGAGGAATGTAATAACTATGAAAAAAATTATATAATGGAGGAAATAATGTAGTTACATGACTAAATAAAAGCATAAGGCTGCAGGCTAAGTGCTGTTACACAAATCATGTAACTCTGAGGTGACCTACAACATCTTCATCATACTTCAGGCGACATATCAATGTGCGAAATATTTCTATATGAGACAAGGCTTCTTAAGTCTAAAGCCAGGCTTGTGCCTAGCCCTTTGATTTTCATACAAAAAATAAATGTTCTTACAAACACTATTGACTATCTTCCATGAAAAATCATACATTTGAAAAATGGATACATGAGTGTAACATATTGAACTAGTGCTTGCAGGTAGAGGAAACCGCCACAACTGAATGCTGAGGTTGATTGATTAAAGAAGTGCAAGAAATTGAACCCCCCCCCCCCACCCACCCCACCCAAAAAAACCTAAATAAACCTACATACTCATCTATATGGCTGCAGCTGTCCCTGAAAAACCAGCTGATCCCTGAATCTCTCCAAAACCGAGTTTCTTGTCTTCCCCCCCAGCCCGGACACCACCCCCCATTGACTTCTCCATCACATCCAACAACGCCAATATCAAACCCGCCCTGCAGGCCAGAGTACTTGGTGTCATTCTGGACTCCAACCTATCCTTCCAGCCCCAAGTACAATCTTTAACAAACTCGTGCAGACTCCACCTCCACAACATCGCCAAAATCTGCACGTTCCTAACCCCAGAAACCACTAAACAGCTCATCCACTCCCTCATCATATCACGACTCGACTACTGCAACTCCCTCCTCACTGGCCTGCCTCGCCGCTGGCTATCCCCGCTTCAGTCGATCCTGAATACGGCTGCCAGACTCATTCACCTTTCCAACCGCTCCGTTTCCGCCACCCCCCCTCTGCCAATCCCTCCACTGGCTTCCGATTGCGCAACGGATCAAATTTAAAAATCCTAACACTGACGTACAAAGCTGTCCACCATACTGCCCCATACTACATCACTGACCTAATATCCAAGTACCGCCCAGCACGCACACTCCGCTCCTCAGAAGACCTCCTTCTCTCTAGTTCCCTAGTCTCCTCCTCCCATGCCCGCCTCCAGGACTTCTCCAGGGTGTCACCCATCCTCTGGAACTCCCTGCCCCAACCCATCAGATTATCACCTACTCTCCTCTCCTTTAGGCGCACCCTGAAAACCCATCTCTTCAGGGAAGCTACCCCCTGCTAACTTGACCGACCTCCTCCACTCTTCCTACCACTCCATCCCCCACAGCTATCTCCTCCTGTGCCACCATCCCCTCCCTCCTAGATTGTAAGCTCGAAAGAGCAGGGCCCTCAATCCCCTCATGTTTTGCATTGTATTGGTATTCTGTCACATGTTCTGTCCCCCTTTGTAATGTACAGCGCTGAGTGAACTATTGGCGCTTTATAAATACTGTATAATAATAATGACCACTGTTCACTCAGTTCTGAGTCTTCAATGAGCAGAAAGCGGTGACTCTCCAAAGCTTTGGCCATAATACTTTTAAATTTAGGCTGCCAAAGAAGACATGGTTAAGATTGTTTATGGTTAAAACATTTCAATACCACATATCAAATTTTCTGATGCCATATGTCTCTACAAAATATTGCTGTACTAAAATGTACACTGAATTTCTTAGACTAGCCAATTTATGTGGAACTGAACATTTTCCTAAGAATGCCATTTTTAGGCCCAGTTCACACCATGCTCGCACATGAATTGCACGGGAATGCGCTGTGCAAATCATATGCGGTGTGATTTCAGCCCATTCATTTTGAAAGGGCTAAAAGCACTCCACACCAAAAGTAGTGAATGTACTACTTTTTGTAACTCATTGCAGCCGGATCACATGGTACAAAAATACCATGCGATCTGGTGCGGGCAAATGCACTGCGTTTGCGACCTGCGTTTGGGATGTTAACTTTGTATTAACACCTGCTGCAGATAACAAATGGAGTGCATTTTGCTTGCGGTTTGAATCGCACAGGACTGTGAAGCGTGTTCCTGTGTGATTCATGTGCACGCATGAGGTGAACTGGCCCCTTATATCAATGGGTAGCTTAGCACTACGGCTGCACAAATTTTAGTAGCTTAATCATGGTTTGAGTTAGTGATTATTCTCCTGTAATCGTGTTAGTTGCATTGCAGGGACTATGAGCAAATCTTCTTTCCTTTCCTTCATAGAGTTCAATGAGAGTAGAAAATGAATATCTCAACAGTCACTCTCTTTCCATTTAAATATAACCCATGGGGCTAATTTTGTGATCACCTAGTAATTGCTCAATAATTTTCTTCATTCGCCCAACAGAGCAATTTTTTTGTTTAGTCTCTCAGGTTAGGGCCCACGTACTCTTGTGCAGTAACATAAATTGGTGCAATGTCATGCCACTCAATGGCATCCCAGTGCACCTGCATTAAATCAATTTGCATAAGGGCACTACTATGTGTTGTGTTGTGCGCTGCATTATACAGAATATTGCAGGTCCCTTTTTCTGTGACCTCTGGGTATGTTGCTATGCAATTCAAATCAATAAGTTCCATGAACACAATGGCCCAGGGAGAATGAATCCTTAAAACTGCCTGTGTATCAGAGCCTTGCTAACTTCATAGAATAATCCTATCATACTTTGTATAAGAAGTTATGCACAAGATTATCATTGTATTGGTTATCATACACTACTTTTAAAACTCACAGGTTCAGGGAAAAAAAAATCCCAAAAAATCCCATACATATATATATATTTATTACACACACATCCGCATCACCGCTATTAACTTGATTATACACTTCTGCCAGTTTTCAGGAAGCATGTATTGTGTGAAAGTCAAAATCTACTTTTCTTAAAGTCTGACAGTGTTTACCTGAGCTAAACAAATCTGAAAATGTGGAGAAGTGACCTGTTTTAGAAACTGACATCTCGGCCTGTTCATTGTCTTGTTACTTTTTTTTTGGAGAGAACCTCTCATCTCACTGTTCATTGTTTATTATTTCCCACAGTCCAAAGAATCTTCATCTGTGCTGAGCTGCGACATCTCTGCAGATGATAAATACATTGTCACTGGATCAGGGGACAAGAAGGCTACAGTGTATGAAGTTATTTATTAGAATCAAATTCAGACTGCCATCAGGATGCTTTCTAGTAGCACTTTTCTGTAAAATCACACCTTTTTTGGAACCAAGGACCTGATCTACCTACCATACAAAGTTCCTGCTCTTTCTTTCTTTGCCAAATGCGTTCCTCATTTTCCTATCTTGCTGTAAATACTTCTACTAGGAACTTGAAACCAAATCTTCACATAAACGTGTGGAAGACACACAGGAAGAGTATACTTATTCTATACATCGGGCTAAAATTCTTGGATTCTGTATTATAGTTGTAACATATTTATTTTGTGTAAAGAAGACTTTCTAAAATATGGACTTTAGAAAAAAGTGGCCTGTTCTGTCTGCACAAATGAAGGTGAGTCTGTTTTACTATATAGTCTATGGTTATTCTGAATTTGAACACACAAAAAAAATCATGTCTGCAGTGTCTATGCTCACCAGAGTAATTGTAGTTGCCATGCTTTTTTTTTTTTTTTTTTTGTATCACAACACCCTGGAGTCACATGGTAACAGGCTAAATCAAACTTGATACTGCTTGTGTCTTCATTGTGTCTTGTGTGAAGAATACCTTAATTTGTAGGATGGTGTGAAGTTGTACTGCCAATACTGGTGGCCGTGGGTGTAGACAGTTGGCATCCAAGGGTCGTTAACCTAACATTGATTTTGTACAGGAGGCCGCCTGCAGCTCTACGTAAACGCCTGTAATTCCCAGGCACACAAATTGCTCTCCTTTATAAGCTGTATGGCTGTTTGGCCCTCTCTTGAAATGTGAGTGAGGCCTCAAAGGAATGCTGTGTATTTACATCAAGCATATTTCAAGTTGTGATTGCAGTGTTTTATCTAAAATATTTGTTGATGTGAGTTTCCCATTTTACATACCTCTACTCCTCCCTTATTTCTATTATTGTAATGTTGAGATCAGCAAATCCAAATCAGAGTAGAATAGTCACTGTGTTATGCTAACTCACTGCTTAAAATCAACCGGTAGGCAAAATAGGAAAGGCAAAGCCTGCTATTGTATAATTGTAAGTATAGTGCCTCGAAAAAGTATTTGTACCCCTTGAAATTTTCCACATTTTGTCATGTTACAACCAAAAATGTAAATGTATTTTATTGGGATGTTATGTGATAGACCAACACAAAGTGGAAGGAAAATGATAAATGGTTTTTAAAGTTTTTTTCAAATATCTGAAAAGTGTGGTGTGCATTTCTATTCATCCCCCATGAATCAATACTTTGTAGAACCACCTTTCACTGCAATTACAGCTGCAAGTCTTTTTGGGTATGTCTCTACCAGCTTTGCACGTCTAGTATGAAATTTTTGCCCATTTTGTTTTTTTTTCTTTTTTTTTTAGCAAAATCGCTCAAGCTCTCTGATTGGATGGAGAGCATCTGTGAACAGCAATTTTCAAGTCTTATCACAGATTCTCAATTGGATTTAGGTCTGGACTTTGACTGGGCCATTCTAACACATGAATATGCCTGCATACTCTCGCCACATGAGGCCGGGCATTGTCATACACCAGGAGGAACCCAGGACCTACTGCACTAGTGTAGAGTCTGACAATGGGTCCAAGGATTTCATCCAATACCCAGTGGCAGTCAGGGTGCCATTGTCTAGCCTGTAGAGGTCTGTGTGTCCCTCCATAGATATTCCTCACCAGACCATCACTGACCCACCACCAAAACGGTCATGCTGAAAGATGTTACAGGCAGCATAACATTCTCCCCGGTTTCTCCAGACCCTTTCACATCTGTCACATGTGCTCAGGGTGAACCTGCTCTCATCTGTGAAAAGCACAGGGCACCAGTGGCGGACATGCCAATTCTGGTGTTCAATGGCAAATGCTAATCGAGCTCTATGGGACTGTGCTGCGAGCACAGTGCCCACTAGAGGACATTGGGCCCTAAGGACACCCTCATGTAGTCTTTCTGATTGTTTGTTCAAACATTCACACCAATGGCCTGCTGGAGGTCATTTTGTAGGGCTCTGGCAGTGCTCATCCTGTTCCTCCTTGCACAAAGGAGCAGATACCGGTCCTGCTGATGGGTTAAGGACCTTCTATGGCCCTGTCCAGCTTTCCTAGAGTAACTGCCTGTCTCCTGGAATCTCCTCCATGCTCTTGAGATTGTGCTGGGAGACACAGCAAACTTTCTGGCAATAGCACATATTAATGCGCCATCCTGAAGGAGTTGGACTGTTTTATACAACTTCTGCAGGGTCCAGGTATCACCTCATGCTACCAGTAGTGACACTGACCCTAGCCAAATGCAAAACTAGTGAAAAACAGAAAAGATGTGTAGGGAAAAAATGTCAATGGCCTCCACCTTTTAAACCATTCCTGTTTTGGGAGTCTTGCCCATCTAGTGCACCTGTTGTTCATTTCATTAACACCAAAGCGGCTGAAACTGATTAACAACCCCCTCTGCTACTTAACTGACCAGATCAATATCCCAGGAGTTTAATTGACTTGATGCTATACTCTGATTAAAAAGTGTTCCTTTAATTGTTTTTGTGCAGTGTATATATTTTTAGAATGCTGAATTTAGCGGTATCGGTAGATGATTTTGATTATCCAAATTCACTTGTGTCCCTTTTGTGTTCTGGAAGCAATGAGTTAATGAATCCCTGGCACCAGCTTGATGTTTTTACAGCCTTGACAGGCATTCTGCAGCTAAAAGTTTTAGTTTTGTTTTTAAACAGATGCTCAAAGTTGTTGATAATTTATTCAGCTGGCGCCAACCTTATTAGAAAGAAATGAGAGAGAATTAAACATCAAAGTTATATTAGTTCATTTCTACCATTACAGTTAGCTTAAAGTATATTACTGTCCTTGTTAAAAAGCTTGGAACATAGCACACTGCTTTCCTAGAACATACGTAATAGTGCATAGATTTTCTTTTTTTTTTTTTTCTTTTTGGTAAAAACAATTTTTGTATAGGAAAAAAAAAAAAATCATTAATGAATCTGATAACACAGGACAATGTGTAGCTTTAGAGGGCCAAGCAACCAAACCATTAGTGGGCCTTTTTGTGTATCCAACCTTTATTTTTTAAGGGGTTACTGTTTCGAAGGGATTTGGCAATGGTTTCAGCTTCACTGTCCTAGAACAAGTGTGTGACACATGAATTAATGGATGACTGCATTCATCACTAATAATGCCAGCCTTTTGTTTGATAAAATTGCTTTAAATTGAATTTGTGGTGAAAAATACTGACAATTTCATGGTACATTTACACCACTGCCGATTCACTGCAGAGCACACTACGCACAAATCTGGCATGTTTTGTAGCAAGTGGCATTTTAGACTTTTTATTCCACAGGAAATACCTCTGAAACCTGTAACGTTCAAGAACAGAAATACTGCATCAGAGAACTGATAGAAGTACCTGAACTATAGACATGCTTACTTTCTTATAAATTTGTCGATTATTTTACTGTAGATTTCCCTTCAGCAGTTGCATTGTGTGCTACAGCTATAATTGGGCTTATTTCAGTACTATGGAATTATAAAAGAACCTATTTATCATGCTTCTGTCAGACCTGCATACTTACAAAAATTAAAATGAACCAATAAAAATTTTAGCTTAAGTAAAAGCTGAATTGCCTCATAGTATTATAATCTCTTTAAACCAATCATGGGAATTGTCAGTCAATGGATATACCCTATGTGTACTGATCTATCCAAGGGTACTATTTTGTCGAGTAAGATTTTTAGACGCATACAGAGTAAACAAGCACTTTGCTGATAAAGATTGTCTTAATCATTTATGTTTACAGCACCCTAATATATCAATGTGAACATCTGAAAACACAACTATAAAGTCAGTCAGATTTTCACTCCTTATATATGATCATCATACAACTACAGCTATTTTTGCCATCATGAATGTAATCATCACTGGAACACTGCTGTTGCAAAGTCCAACCTCACAAACCAGCAGCATGGCTAAACAGTTATAAGGGTTACACAACAAAATCTGGTTTTACCAAATTGGGGTTTTGGTATCCATTTTTTAAAGTTTTATCTAAACAGCTGGCCGCAATTGGTTATTTCTGTTTAGGATATTAAACCAGTAAGTTAGTTACTGGCTTTTTAAGGTTGTAATAGGTAACATCAAGTAGTTAAACTGTGCATGTCACCTAAAAGTAACTCTCAGAATAATGCTAGGATTAGATAGGAGGCCAGAAACCATTTTAAGAACTTTAACCACATCATATGCCACATTCTGTTGCTGTGCACTAGTGAGGAGCCAACACAAAATAGGCTGTATATATTCGGTCCTGGAGCAGCTTTCTGCTGGTCTCTGTATGTCTGTCAAGCATATTGCAACAAGCCTCTACTCAATCTTTTATTTGTCTTTAAAGAATAAGTTCACCTTTCTAAAAAATAAAAAAAAAAAAAAAAAAATCCAGAAACTGCCTAGAGAACTCGCTAGTACCCTGGCAGTTCATTGAGAGCTACAAGCCATCATCTGCAGAGGCTGTTGGTACTTGTAGTTCATGTATTCACAGAGGCTGCAGGAGCAGACCAGGCCACCTTCTTCCATTGCTCTGTTTTCCAGTTCTGATGCTCACATGCCGTTGTAGGTGCTTTTGGCTGTGGACATGGGTCAGCATGGGCAACCTGATCAGTTTGTGGCTTGGCAGCCCTATGCACACCAAACTATGATGCACTGTGTGTTCTGACACTGTTCTATTGGAACCAGCATTAACCTTTTCAGTAATTAGAGCTACAGTAGATCTTCTATTGATTGGACTACACCTGCCAGTCTTTGCTCCGATGAGCCTTGGCCACCCATGACCCTGTCAACTCTTTTCCTTCCTTAAACCACTTTTGGTAGATCCTGACCACTGCAAACTGATAAGAGCTGCAGTTTTTAAATTGCTCTGACCCAGTCATCTAGCCTTTATAATATGGCCCTTGTCAGTCGCTCAAATCCTTACACTTGTCCATTCTATTTATTTTTTTGTTTCCAACACATCAACCTCAGGGACA